ATCAGCTTTCTTACTGAAAACCATCCATCAATAGTCAAAGCAGATAACAAAAAATTGGGTGTACTGTTTTTGTGTTTTAAAATCCAAAGGGCCTGAAAATATGCTATTAAAAGTTATCAATTATACCGGGCATGGTTGGTGCATGCCTTTAATCTCAGCATTCGGGAGGCAGAGGCACAAGATCTCTGCAAGTTCAAGGCCAGCCTGGTCTACAAAGTGAGTTCAAGGCCAGTTGGGGCTACAGGGAGACCCTATCTCAAAAAAGCCCCCCCCCAAAATCTAAATAAATTGAGAAATTTTTCATATGAAAAAACACAGCTGATTATATTTCCAAATTATGAAAAGAACTAAGGCCAAAACAGGTTATGAAAGGTACAGCCATCCTTCAGAATCCATAAGGGACTAGTTCTAGAACTGCTCACTGTATATGAATGCCTCTACAAAATGATACGGTATATGATACATCCTACTCACATGTCCTACAAATCTTTCCACACACTTTGAATCATCTCCAGATTACTAATAATACCTAATAAAAATGCTATGTAAACAGCTGTTAATACTGCACTGCTTAGGGAATAATAACTAGGAAAAAATTGTTTTTTAGTGTTCCATTCAGGCACAATCTTTTTCAAACATTTTTAAACCACAGTTGGTTGTCTCCACTGATGCAGAACCCAGGGAGAGCCAACTAATACACATCCAGGAAATGAAAACTACACTGCCTTAGTATCTAAAGCATAATAAAAGTTACAGCAATCCCCTGAATTTTCCACCAAGGCAAGCATTTGAGTGCTTACTATATGCCAATTGCCTGTTTAGAACTTGAATATACAGAAAAGACAGAATGCAAACAAAACAGGTAGCCTTTAAAAATGAAATACTGATATGCCCAAACTGGGAAAATCTGACTCTATGAGCTTGTGTTTTTCAAACTACAATAAGCATATAATATTATTTCACGCCCCTCATTAACATTCCTCTCCCCCTACCCTGCATTAGGAAACAAACCCAAGGATGCTTGGGCAAATATTCTACCCTATCTCCAGCCCCCTCATCAGGTATTTTCAAAGGCTACTGATTAGTTTTCTGCTAAGAAATTAAAGAGAAGCCAGCACAGTAGGGCACAGCTGTAATCCCAGCACTTGCAAGGTGGTGGCAGAAAGATCTACCTCACCTACACAGGGAGTGAGGGGGCCCTGTCTCAAACAAATAAAAAAGAACTTAAGGAAAATTGCTCCTAAACCCTAAACATTAATAGCTAGTTTGGATTCAACAGGGATATTTTATAATAAAACCTCTCTCACTATGCCTTTCTCTTGGGTTCCACACAAATCCTAAATGCTGAATCTCAAATTAACAAAGCAGTCAGCTACCATCTTCCAAATGTGTGATAGCATCCCTTTATGCTGTAAGTTTCAAAGCACTAGTCAATGGAAATTATGCAAAAGCAATCCCAAATTTCACCACAACATATTTTATGAAAAAAGGAGGAAAATGCTGAAAAGCACAAGTGACAATATTAAAATTATCTGTAGCCCAAATAGACTACTTTTAAAGAACAATTTGCAACTTAAAGCATTTATCATTCTATCAGCAATTAGAAGATAGTGCCTCACATACTCAAAAATAAGTTCATTACATGAGAAAACTCTCAGTGCATAAATCACCTCACAAAAGTCATAAGAGCAGAACTGGCACAATCAAGATTCACTGCATTTTCCCATATGAAGATTCTTTCACTTCCAGAAACGGTTCTGGTAACTAAAGTGATATAGAAGTAAAAATTCTAAGTCACGGATAAGGGGAGAGGGAAAAGAAACAGTATAAACAAGTTGTAATAATATTAATACATATTAAAAAGTTAGAGCAGAGCCTGGGGTGATGGTGCACGCCTTTAATCCCAGCACTTGGTAGACAAGGGCAGGCAGATCTCTGTGAGTTCAAGGCCAGCCTGGTCTATACAGAGAGTTCCAGGCCAGCTGGGGATACAGGGAGACCCTGACTCAAAAATAAACCAACCAAACAAAAAGTTACAGCTGATTTCAGAATCACTACCATATTAATACTTCACTGTATAACACTCTTCAAATATTCTTGCAGGAGTGATAAAACTAACTTTTCTCTCCTAAAACACAGAGGGGAATTTGGCTCTGGAGGGATGGCTCAGTGGTTAAGAGCACTGGCTGCTCTGCAGAGGACCTGGGTTCAGTTCCCAGCACCCATATGGCAGCTAACAACTATTTGTAACTCCAGTTCCAGGGGATCTGACACCCTCTTCTGGCCTCCACGGACACTGCACAACACAGGTGCACTTACATACATGCAGGCAATATACTCACACACATAAAATAGAAATAAAAAATAAAATAAAAACCTAGAGGAATTCATCTTCTACAAAAGGATTGGGGAAGGAAGAGGTAATCCCTTCTACTAAAGCAAACTAAGATTTCCTTCTGGAGATTTTTTTTAATGTTTCAAAAATTAGGTTAATTATATGCTAATGCATAACTACATAAAGACAGACACACAAATACCAGGATCTTGAATGAAACGTTCAGTCAGACCAACCTCTGTGTCTGGTCCCAGCCTACTCCCAACTACTTTCAAGCATCTTACACTCATGCGAGTCAAATCCACCCACTATAATCGGTCAGCCCAGAAAACAGTAAGGTTCCTTCCAGTGTGGGGCTCTATGCTCTAAGCATGCTGGTAACTGAAGAAAACATTAATGAATCAGACAATGAATGAGCAATGAATAGAACATAATCTCTGGCCCCTAGGAATTTTTCAGAATTCACACATGCATAACTTTCTTATCTACCTGAAATGACACATTTTCCTAAAGCTTTCCCTGTGATGATGAAACAAAATAAAAAGTAACTTTTCATAGCTTTTACTTCCATTTGTCACTTTCTACTTGTTTAGGGATAAGTTCTAAAGTCTTAAATCACAAAGGCTCAAACTGCTATTTAGTAGATTATTTTAGCTTATACCCACAAAGCCTAGCTTAGAATACAGGCCACAAGCATGAAGATCTGTTGAATGATCAAGCATTAACCTTTTTTACATCTTTTCAGTGTGGTAGTTATACATGGCTTGAACTGAAATACAGGGCCTCTATCCATTTTATTTATCCATTTTATTTATTGAGGCAGGGTCTCTATCTGAACCTGGGGCTCATCACTTCCTAGCCTAGCTAGCCAGTTTGCACCAGGGACTGTCTGCTAGGATTACAGGTAGCCACCATGCCTGCCCCACTCTTACACAGGTTCTGGGAATCCCAAGTGCAGTCCTCATACTTCCACAAGTACTTTATCCACTGAGCAATCTCTTCAGTCCTAGCAGCAAAATTTTAAATAAAGCATTTGAATGCGATGTGTCCAGCTTATTTCTGTCATATATACTCATAACTACACATTTTTTTCCTACGGAATTTTAACTGCCTTCTCAAAAAACTAAAATGTTACATTCTAATAAGTAAAAAACATGCTGCTCTTGCAGAGGACTCCAATTCAGTTCCCAGCACCCACATCAGTTAGCTCATAACTGCCTGTAACTCCAGCTCCAAAGGATGCGATGCCTTCGTCTGGCTTCTGCCCGCACTGTGTGCACATGCTGCACATACAGGCAAAACACACACATAAAACGTAAATCTTTTAAAAATGGAAACCTACACCCATTTCCACTCATTGGTAACACTACAGTCAATCATAAAATGTACAAATAAAAAAGGGCCAATAACACCCGAGAACCTCAAGAATGATAAAAGTTGAATTTTACATGCTTCATGTAAAATTATATGATTAGAACAATCAATGCTATCTAAGATACAGAATGGAGAGGCTCCTGAGGTATTTTCTCTTGGGGTGGTGTGTTTTTAGAGTGGGCAAGCACTTGTTACAGGACAGATTCCTGGGCTGGGCTAAGGCGGTGTTCAACTACTTGAGCTTTAAAGTCTCAGTTCTAAAATTCCCAATCTGTAAAACGTAGAAAACGAGAAAACATTTGGTCCTCCAATTAAACGATCTGCTTCGCTTCCCAGTCTGTGCACATACTCAAAAGTATCTCTCCCCTCTCTTGGCAGCGATTCCACGAGATTCCCGCAAACAAAGGCACCGACAATATGCACAGGTGGGATAAAAAGAGGAGTGGCAGAGGCGGGGCGGCGGTCGGAACAGCACCCCCAGGCCGCCAGTCTCCCCGGCCACACCTGAGAAATCACAGCCCTGCACACCACCACCCTCAGGTGGCGACGGCCCGAGCCCATTCTCCTGACCCTCCAAGCCCGCACCTCGGCCACACACTGGGCATTGTCTGGAGCCTCCAGCGCCCCAGAAAGGCGAGGAAGAGACAAATGAGAGAAGTGAGAATAAAGAACGGGAGGGAAATCAAGCCATCGCGAAGCCGTGCGCTTCCTTCGTCGTCCGCTCTATCTAATTCGGGTCACAAAAGCAGAGCCACCAGCCCCAAAATGCTGCGGTGGGAGCTGGCGGGGCCGGAGCACCGAAGGACGGGGTCGGGAGCACAGAGGGAGAGGGAAATGGGCGTGTGGGTTAGGCCTGGCTGGCCGGAGGCCGGGCTCGGAACAAAGCCGCCCAGCTCCCCCTACCTGGGGCCGGGGCGGCGCCGCCCGGATCCCCGTGCCGCGGGGCCGGGCGACGCCCGAGCCCTGCCGACCCCGCGGACCGCCCGGGGTCGGCGGAGCTCGGCCTCCCCAACCGCGAGCTGTGCCCCTGCGGGACAATGGACCCCTCCCCCGCCGCCGGGGTACAAAGGAACTGAGCGCCTCGGGAAAGTGGCGGCGAAGGAGGGACAGGGCGGCGCGGCGGCCGTCCAGGACTGGGCAGCGGGGCTCCGAGCGCGAGCGCCGACGGGGCGTCCACACCCGCCCCGGCCGAGCGGCGGGAAACGCTGGCGGCACAAAGCCCGGCGGGACCCCGCGCCGGGCGGGGTGAGCCCCGGCTCCCGCTGCCGACGGCGCCCAGCTCCGCACTCACCCACAGCTCGGTGCCCCAGCTCATGGCGGAACCTGAGGCGACGCGCGCCGTTCGGCTGCTCCCGCTGTCCGCGCTTCCGTCCACTCCGTCGCCGGCGCACCTGGCCCGACGCCTCTCCTCAGGCTCTAGCCGGCGGACACGGCTCTCAGTGCAGCAAGTCCCAGCCTCGAACGCTGCCGCCACAGCCGGGCTCCCCAGTGAGAGAGAGAGAGAGAGCGAGAGAGACGCGACTGGAGCGAGCCGCTGCCGCGTCCCCGCCTCCCCGCAGCCGGGAGGGAAGGAGGGGGCCGGGGCCGAGGGGAGGCGGGACGGCGCGGGGAGGGGGCGGACCGCGGTGCACCCTGGGATCGGGGCGGACCCGTGTGCTCCCGCCCAGCCGTTTCCCTGCGCCCCTCCGACCCTCGGCGGCGTCCCCTGCACCTCCCTCGGAAGTCGCCGGGTTGCACCGGCGCCTCTCGAACCCCTGGCTCCTTGGTGGCGAGGAGGAGGGCGGCCCCCGCCTGTACCTTGCTCGGAGCATGCTCCTGAGGCCCCACACCTCAGCCCCACAAAGAAACGTCCTCGTCCAAATGTTCGGGCTGGGGTTGAGCAGTTGTGCTTCCTTTTTATTAGATTATCAAGAATCTTATGCTTCATGAAGGTACATCTTATCCAGGTCTTGATCCGTCAACCTTGCGATCCCCAGGAATCACAAAAACGTGTCGAGGTCGACCGTCAAGTATGAGTGCAACGTGCCTCGGCATCTGTTTTTAATAATGCATTTTGATTTGTTATAAGTTCTTTCGGGAAATGATTTTTTTTTTAAGAAAGAAGCAAACGACCCAGTATCCTTTGGGGAAGTTGCCATGGTAAAAGATGGACTAATGTGAACCCGCTGTCACCTGCAGAAGGGACTCTGAGCTTGCCTGTGTCTAGATGGTGGGCACCTCATGAAGCCAGGTTAGCGCAAAACAACCTGTTCAGAACTTCAGAGATCTGACCTCTGGTACTGGGATCTGGGATGCAGGATCAGCACTTCCTTTTTCCTCTGCTGAGTTATTTCCCAGCCAACCTCCACAGTTAGGCAGTCAGCAAGTTTGGCTGCTGCTGGAATTAAGTACAGTATGCTCAGTAACTCCCTGACATATGCTTCAGTATTAATTGCTTGTCTTTTAAAACACACACACATTTTCAGTCTACAACTAGTAGAGTATGACTCAGTGAGTCATGACAGATGAATGTTTCAAGTTCTCCCTACAGGCTCTGTCAGGGTTGGAAACTCCTCCCCTACCCAGCCTGTACAGGTGGCCAGGCTTCTTCCGTTCCAGCCCTCCTTTTTTTCCTAGTTGTGCTCCCTCTTGAGGTTGAGGCCACTAGCCTGCGCTGTCCTAGCAGTCCAGCTACCACTCGCCAAATCAAGAACAGAATACTCTTCTTCCAAACGTGTTATGGCCAATTTTTAAAGGCTTTTTTAAAGTCTCTAAAGTCAGGTGTGGTGGCTCACACGTGTAATATCAGTGCCTCAGAGGAAGCCAGCCTGGGTTACAGAGTTATGGAGTGAGGAGAGAGAATGAGATGTTCAAAGCATTACCTGAGCAATACGTTCTGATAGATGAATTAGAGGGGGGGAGAGAGAGAGAGAGAGAGAGAGAGAGAGAGAGAGAGAGAGAGAGAGAATAGACTGACACAGGATCTCCCCTGAACCTCCCTATATAGACCACGCTGGGAGAGAGAATAGACTGACACAGGATCTCCCCTTAACCTCCCTATATAGACCACGCTGATATCCATCTTACAGAGATCCACCTGCCTACAAGTGCTGACACTAAAAGTGTCTGCCACCACCCCCAGCTCCAATATTTTTCTATATTGTCTCTATTTCAAACAGAAGTCTTTCCAGGTTATTTATATCACTTAACAGTGCTAATCACCCCTTCTCTCCCTCTCACTCCCTAGCTATCATGAATTTATGCAGCAATCACCGGTTACACTAATTAGTAATTGAAAATATATTTATTAAATGGATGCCTCATTCCTTAGAGCCATCCCAATGCTAAGATTTATTGTAGACAGGTTCTGTCATGTAAGTTAAGACATAGGAACCATAATTCAAACCAAAATTAAATTTCCTTTATTAAAAGAAAAATAAGATGCCGCCAGGCATGGTGGCGCCCACATTTAATCCCAGCACTTGGGAGGCAGAGGCAGGCGGATCTTTGTGAGTTCAAGACCAACCTGGTCTACATAGTGAGGTCCAGGACAGCTGGGGTTACAGGGGGAAACTGGCTCCAAAAAACCAAAAAAAAAAAAAAAAAAAAAAAAAAAAAAAAAAGTCATTCACATTAAAGCCATCTGTCTACGTGATTCCTCAATAACATAAAAATTTACTTCCAGGATGAGTATTTTTTTCTTTCAAAACAGGTTTCCACAATTTACACAATCCATTTTTCTTTAATTAAAAAAAAAGGATTGTGAATGATGGAACACTTGCCTAGGATGTGTGAGGCTCTGGGGCTCAATCTCCAGTTCTGAGAAATAGAAAAAACTGACTTAGTAACAACAGTCTTGATATTCACAATTAGATAAATTTCTGCTCTCCTCTATTACTGTAAAATTGTACCTATTGTGACAAACTCAAATTAAGACAATTATTTGTAATTTACAATATTACTTCATATTAAAATTCACTAGTCAAAATTTTTAAGCAAAAGTGATTTAAAAATGAAAAGTAAGGCTGGGGTAACAGTTCAATGGTAGAACATTTCTTTTTTTGTTTTGTTTTGTTTAATTTTTATTTTATTTTATGTGTATGAGTGTTGTGCCTGCATGTAGGTAAGTGCACCCATGTCATGCAATGCCCACAGAGGACAGAAGAGGCTGTCGGATACCCTGGAACTGGAGTTATGGACAGTTGTTAGCTGCGGTGTGGGTGCTGGAATTCAAAGCTGTGTCTTCTGTAAGAACAATCAGTGTTCTTAACCGCTGAGCCATCTCTCCAGCCCTGGTAGAACATTTCTTTTTCGCGTTCAAGTTCCTGGGTTTAATTCCCAGCACCACACACACAAAAAAAGATCACAATAAGGAATAAATGGGTTTAGTATTTATTTTGTTTAAAATGAAGATTAATCAGACTTCAAAGTATTCCTTTTTGTAACAAATTTCTAAAATAATGAGCATTTTAGTTGACAGATATACAGAGGTATTTTACACAAACACACACACACACACACACATATTCACATACATATAGTCACATAGACGAATATCAATATAACAATGTGGTTTGAGTTGTTCTGCTGTTTTATTATTGTGTGTATGTGTGCATGATGGGAAGGCATCGCAAGGCCACAGTGCCAGTGTGGAGATCAGAGGGCAACTCTGCATAGTCAGTTCCCTTCTTCCACCCTTAGGTAGATTCCAGGGATCAAATGCAGGTTTCCAGGATTGAACAGCAAGCACCTTTAACCCATTGAGCCAGCCAGCCAGCCCAGCAGAGCAGTTTTTAAAGTTGTTTGTGATTTTTCACATAATCCTTTTTTAAGTAGCTTAATGACATCATTTTCATCTCTAAAAGAATTTTGAAAGAAAAGCCTTTTTACTATAAGAGGAGTGTATCATTTATTCTGGATGCTATCCCTAAATTCCAACTGCAACCATAAATTTTACAAAAGTCTGTCACACCAATTATACCTTTTTTGCTACTTGACCTATTGGCAATGAATTGCTATATAATTTCAATTCCATATCGCAGGTTTTATACTGTAAGCAACAATAAGAATTAAGGAGATATTCTATTTTCTTCATACATTTTTTTTCTCTTTTTTGCTCTTTTTTTTGAGACAGGGTCTCCCTGTAGTCCCAGCTGGCCTGGAACTCACTATGTAGACCAGGCTGGCCTTGAGCTCACAGATATCTGCCTGCCTCTGCCTCCTTATTAAAGGGATACACCATCACACCCAGCCTCTTTATACATTTTTTTACAACAAAGCTTCTCTAGTGAATAAGGTCTAAAGGGCTTACATTACAAAGGCTCATTTTTTTTTAATTTTCTTTTTGTTAAAACAGAATCTCATATTGGCCAGGCTGACCTTGAATAGCTACAAAACTAATTTAGCCAGGCTGCCTCTGGTTCCTCCTGCCTCCACTTCCCAACTACTGAGATTATAGGCCTGTGCCACAGCACCTGACTATACTTTATTTTTAACTATGGAAGATACTTTGATGAAATGCGTTTTTTCTTCAGGTTTATGTTTGAACTCTAGTCCATTATAAGCCATTGAAGTGTTATATTTTCTCTCACATCTTTTATCATATATTAATTCAAATGCAAGCTGCTTTTATAATTTCTTTTTTTCCCTGGGTGTTTTTTTGAATTCTTATTTTTAATTGATACATAGTAATTATCCTCTTATAATTTCATTATTGTCGTAAACATTTAGCTAATGCCCTTCCCAGTTTCAAATTTCCCTGTGTGTATTTTGGCTAATTTTTTAAGTAAAGATGTAAATCATAGTTGTTCACTTTGTATGGTGAATATGATAATTACTACTCCAAATACACCAATCTCCAATCGTAAGTCAATCCCTTGGTTGCAAGGAAGAAACAAAGTCTTCTATCAACTTAGTATCTGGAGTATAGGAAACTTTTCTTTTTTCTAATTTTTCATTTCTTTATTTTTATTTTATGTGTATGAATGTTTTGCCTATATGCCTGTGAATGCACCACATGCATGGAATATGGAATGCCCATGGAGGCCAGAAGAAGGCAACAGATCCCCTGGAACTGGAGTTATGGATGGTTGTTAGCTGCCATGTGGATGCTGAGAATCGAAGCCGGGTCCTCTGCAAAAGTAGCCAGTGCTCTTAACTGCTGAACCGTCTCTCCAGTGCGAGGAACCTTTTCTTAGCATGTGTGCGTGTCAATATCCTGTCCATGAGTGAGTACCAATCGTATGGAATTTCTACTGCCCAAAGCATACATTCTTTAGCACATCACAATTCATTTTTTCTCATTCAAAAATCTTTTTTTTTTTTTTTTTGTCTTTTTGAGACAGGGTCTCCCTGTAGCCCCAGCTGGCCTGGAACTCACTATGTAGACCAGGCTGGCCTTGAACTCATGAAGACCCGCCTTCTTCTGCCTCCCACATACTTCATTCAAAAATCTTAAGACTGTGCTTTAAAATTAAAACTATATGGGCTCGAGAGATGGCTCAGCGGTCAAGATCACATGGACCTTTTGCAGAGGACCTGGGTTCAGTTCCCAGCACCCACATGGCGGCTACAAACCG